TGGAAAGACATGTTCAGCTGATATGCATCAATGACGAATCATCAAAAAATGCTTTGTTCTTCATTAAAATAGATCAGACTAGATTAATAATGCAAGTGTTAAAGTCAACTACAATTTATATGCTACACAACACCATATTTATATCAACTTCATATTAAAAGTACTTCTGTATTTCATTTTCAATCTTTAAGGAGGTTATACAGTAACAACACTACGCGTATACTTGATGGTAGCCAAAAATCTTTTGACGAAGCAATTTTAATATTAGAAAAATTTGCACTATTTTCAGGACTTTACATCAATTACCAAAAGTCCAACATTGTTCCTATTGGAAGTTTGAGAAATAAAAATACATTAACAGATAAAGCACATCAATTCATTACAACAAATGGGCCTGTGCGTCTTAGATAGAGAAAAAAATGATTTGTATACATTAAATTTTGACCCCCAATTAAAAAAAATTAAAACTCTATTAAACAGTTGGTTAGCAAGGGATCTCTCGCCTATCGGAAAAATAACAATTGGTAAATCATTAGCAATATCAAAATTAACTTTCCTTTTTTCCGTTTTACAAGATCCACCGACGTCCTTTTTCGCAGAGCTAAACAGTATATTTTTCAGGTTCATATGGCATAATAAACCAGACAAAATAAATAGATCCTCGCTCATTTCGGACCGTAATGAGGGCGGGCTAAAAATGATTCATATTGAATCATTCTGTCATAGCATGAAAACTAAATGGATCCAAAGACTGTTTTTGAATAAACAAAGTAACTGGACCCTTTTTTGGCACTACTCCATTAAACGGTTAGGTGGAAGTTTAATTTGGAAATGTAATTTTAGACATACTGAACTTTTTTTGGACATGATAAAAAACGAATTTATAAAATATGTTTTGGTGGCATGGAGTAAATATATTTTTACAAATGGTGAGAATATTATTGATCCAAAGCTTCAAATTATATGGTGTAATAATCTGATTAAGTCGAGTAATCATGTTTTATTACCTCCTTCAACTCTTTTGCATAAAGTAAAATATGTAAATGATATTTTAGACCAAGGCGGTACCGTTTTAAATTATAATAACTAAATATGATACCATGTTTTGTTTTTTATCGTATTACAAAATAATATCACCAATTCCAAGAGATTGGCTAAAATTATGTACAAATGAAGTTGAATTAAAATCTGATAATACAGCTGAAGATATCAATCGCTTCTTTTCTGCAAAAAAACCTAACCGCCTTGTTTATATAAAAAAATTAAAAAGTAAGCATTCTTCGAAACCAATTTCTGAATTAAAATGGAATTCACATACCACATTCCCTGTTAATTTCGACTGGGTTTTTGCTTATAAAATACATTTTGAATGTACCACTGATTCAAAATTACAATATTTTCAATATAAAATTATTCATAGAATTCTGGGAACAAATGAAAGTTTTAAATTACAATAAATTCAAGTCTAAATATGATACCATGTTTTGTTTTTTATCGTATTACAAAATAATATCAGCAATTCCAAGAGATTGACTAAAATTATGTACAAATGAAGTTGAATTAAAATCTGATAATACAGCTGAAGATATCAATCGCTTCTTTTCTGCAAAAAAACCTAACCGCCTTGTTTATAGAAAATTAAAAAGTAAGCATTCTTCGAAACCAAATTCTGAATTAAAATGGAATTCACATACCACATTCCCTGTTAATTTCGACTGGGTTTTTGCTTATAAAATACATTTTGAATGTACCACTGATTCAAAATTACAATATTTTCAATATAAAATTATTCATAGAATTCTGGGAACATATGAAATGGTTTCAAAGTTTGAAGATATTTCACCTTTGTGCACTTTTTGTAAAAGCAATACAAAAAACATTTTGCATCTCTTATGTGACTGTACGTATGTTAGAGATATTTGGCTATATGTAAAAACATTGCTTCATATTGACCTAGATAAATGGTCCATGTTATTTGGTTTAAAGTGTGTTAGCAATAAGATGTTATTTAACCTTATATTACTCATTACCAAATTCTATATTTTTACTTGTAAAATAAAGGAGAGAAAACCAACTAGAGGCGAACTTCTTAATAAAATAAGATATTTCCACAAAATAGAAAATCTTATTTACAAAAGAAAACAAAATTTATCAAAATTTAAGGAGAGATGGGATTGTATAAATCATGTGTTGTAATATCTCCGGATTAGTGTTTCCAGTTTAAAATGCTACGATTTGCAAATTTGTTGATAAAATTGAAAGTCTGTTTAAAAAATCGTATTACTGCCAAAAAACCAAACAAAAATAAGTTACAGGAAAAATACAGCAGAACTTTCTTCGTTACGAGAAGACTACACAAATTCCAGTATTCATGCCAAGCTGTGGAAGTCTTCTGAAGATCAATACAAACCAGTCTGTATCATTTCCAGATTCAGAGGCCACTTCTATGCCATGGGGAATCACTAGAGTATCAGCTTCTTCTTGTGTGCTTACAGCTGTTGTTGGAGGATGCTCTGGGGCGCTTGTTTTGACATCTTGCCGTGTGAATTGTGAGAGGTACCGCTGAAACCAGAAGAAGAGTGGCTCTTCAGCCAATATACGATCATCTTGGACCAGAAAGAGCAGTGACACTACCAGGCTTCCATACTATCACCGGTTGTGATAAAAATTTTCAGGCCCGTAGCCAGGTTCTTTCAAGGGGGGTTTTCTGGGCGTGAGGTCCACGGTCGAAGCCCCGGTGGGGTCGGCGTAACCCCCAAAGCAAGGGGATTGGGATTTCTGTGCTTTATGGGTCTAAATAATGCTATAAAAGCAGATATGTTTGAAAAGGTCTTTGTCTGGGTGGGTCTGCAGTGCACCAGGTGGGTTGGAGGACTTATTTGGGAAATCTGAAGAGGGGGGTTCGCCAGAAACGAGGGAGGTTTGCCAGAAAAGGAGGGTTCTCCCGAACCATAACCCCCCCCCCCCACTGGATACGAGCCTGATTATTACAGGGCATATAAATGGTGTTGGAAAAAAACAGCCCTTAAGATGTTTATGAAATCACGACCTCATGTTTACAAGCTTGGGATCATTTAATGTGAGAATGGGATGCAAGGAGTTTTTGTGTAGTCTTCTCTGAACGAAGAAAGTATCTGCTAAAATGCCTCAATTTTACGATGGAAAAGATTCAA